GAAGCAAGCATTGTAGGCCCCAACATGCACAGATGGTTTTGTGTAGTACCAGCACAGGAACTGGTGTGTTGCAGCAACACGCTCTCCACTCGCTACCATAGAGGGCACGGCGTCGCGGCGTTGCTTCTTGGGGGTTTTAGGGAAATTACGGAGGAACAAAATCATATTACCTTTTTCTGGTGTCTACTTCACTTTTTATTTCTTTCCCATCTACAGAGATTTGCAGCGCCGTGCCCCACTGCATCGCCTCCGCTGGCCAGGCATGGAGACTTTGCTGAAGGCATATGGTTTCCGTTTTTACGTCCTTCTTCCGATTAATATTGATTTTTTTCACTATTAATTGGCGAATATACAAAGGAAGAACCCTCATTTGCCCTCACTAAACTTGCTCAAGGGCGTGTTCTCCTCTTGCCTGCCCCGTCGCTCCAGCTAAATGGGTCATCCTGCAACGCCCGCAGGCGGAGATGAACAGGCGGCAGCTCGACCCGTTTTGGGTTCTTTTGCAAATGTTTCTTCATTCGTTTCTGAAGATTTGAACGTCGGTTTCCCTGTAAATACTTGGGAGCATCCATTCGGCCTCCCTGGTGCTGCTGATGCCGCCACAAGCGCGCATACACGGGGCCCCCCAACGCCTCGGCATTCAGGCTTGCGCTCATTAACCTTTGTTACTGCGCTCGTCTTCGCCTCAGCTTTAGCTGTCGTATTCCTCATCACCCTCTGTAGACAGTTGAACAGCAAAGCTGCCACCCGCAGGCTATCAGACCAAGAAGATGGTCATCGTAGCCCCCGTGCAATCGACGTTTGTGATGAGGAGCTTGAGGAGGATACCCAGCAGGCCGATGAAGATCCTGTTGAAGGACCCTCTGGGGGGCCCCCTGAAAGCACCTCTGAGGGGCCCCTGAGGGGCCCCCCAGAGACCCCTCAGAGGCCAACGACACCAGAAGCGGGGGCATCACGCAAACGCGGCATCGACAGCAGCAAACAGGGCGGACAAAAGGGGGCAAAGAAAGCGAAAGCCGCTTCTNACGCAAACGCGGCATCGACAGCAGCAAACAGGGCGGACAAAAGGGGGCAAAGAAAGCGAAAGCCGCTTCTATCACTGGGCCGGATGGAGACACGGCAGCGCAGCAGCAACAGCAGGAGGAGGAGCAGCAGATGGAGGAGGAGCCGCTGACGTTGGCTGCTTTACTGCAAAGAAAGGGGACCAAAAGGACTCAGTCGCCAGCTGTTGCTGCTGCTCGCGCGTTTGCACCTGCTGCTGTTCGCGGTCCTGCACCTGCTGCTGCTCCCGCTGCTGCTCCCGCTGCTGCTGCACCCGCTGCTGCTGCACCCGCTGCTGCTGCACCCGCTGCTGCTGCACCCGCTGCTGCTCCCGCTGCTGCACCCGCTGCTGCTGCACCCGCTGCTGCTCCCGCTGCTGCACCCGCAGCTGCTGCTCCAGCTGCTACTGCACAAGCTCCTGCCTCGCCGCCACGCTTGTCCCCTAAGTTGATGCTGAAGCAGGAGCGTGCAGCGGTTGAGGCGGCGAGAGCCCTGGTGGAGNACGCTTGTCCCCTAAGTTGATGCTGAAGCAGGAGCGTGCAGCGGTTGAGGCGGCGAGAGCCCTGGTGGAGATGCACGGGAAGCAGCAGCAGCAGGAGGCAGAGGCTAGCGGAAAGAAAAAAGGGAAAGAGAAGCAAAAAGGAGGAACCTCGTCAGGTGCTGCTGCTGCAGCAAACGACAAACAGCAACAGCAGCAACAGCAAGCGCAGCAACCACAGCCGCCACCACAACAGCAGCAGCAGCCACAGCTGCCACAGGTGCCACCGATACTGCAACAAATGCCTCTACTGGTGCTGCAGAATCCACAGCAGCAGCAGCAGGTGCAAACAGCACTGATAACACAGCAGCAGCAAGCACAACCACCAGCACTGCCGCAGCTGCAGCAGCCGCAACTGCAGTTGCAGCCGGGGCAGCAACCAGCGCCTCTACTAATGCTGCAGAGTCAGAACCAACAGCAGCAGCAGCAACAGCAACAGCAGCAGCAGCAACAGCAACAGCAGCAACCGCAACAGCAGCTACAACAGCAGCAACAGCAACCGCAGCTACAACAGCAGCCTCCGACACAGCAGCAACAACAGCCTCTACTAGTACTCCAGCCTCAGCAGCAACCCCAGCAGCAACAGCAGCCTAGCATGCAGCAGCCCCTAATGACACCACAGCAGCAACCACTTTTAGTGCTGCAGCAACCGCAGCCGCAACTGCTGCTGCCGCCTTTACAGCAACCACAGCTGCAGCTGCAGCAGCAGCCGCAGGGCGTCCCCGTGCAACAGCAGCAACTGCAGCAGCAGCCTCAGCCCACACAAACGGTGTTGCTGCATCAGCAAGGAGATAAAGTGGTGCTGGTAGTGCCGGACCAACAGCAGGCGGCTCTGCTGCAGCAGCAGCAGCANAGCAAGGAGATAAAGTGGTGCTGGTAGTGCCGGACCAACAGCAGGCGGCTCTGCTGCAGCAGCAGCAGCAACAACAACAACAACAGCCACAGCAGCAGGACCAACTGCTGCTGCAGCAGCGGGAGTTACTGCTGGTTGCGCTGCAGCAGCAGCAGTACATGCAGAAAAACGTGCAGGAACAGCTACACAACCAACAACAGCAAGTAGACCAACTCCAACGAATGTTAGCCGCCCAGAGGCAGCAGCTACGACAGTACCAGCTGCTGGAGCAACGGGTACAGCGGCTGCAGCAAGAACTGCAGCATCTGCAGCAGCAGCAACAGCTGAACGAAGTGCAGTCGGAGCTGCAGGAGCTGCAGCAGCGGCATGAGTTGCACACTCTGCAGCGGGAGGTGCAGGAGCTGCGGCGACAGGTGCAGCAGCGATCGCAGCAGCAGGGGCAGACGGAGCAGCAACAGCAGCAGGAGGATATGCAAGTGGAGCAACAAGGAGCCGGCATGCAGCAGGGAGGGGAAGAGGAGGAGGAGGAGGATCAGATGGAAGGGGTGGAGCCGCCGCAGCAACAGCAGCAGCAGATGGCGGGGCCTACAGCTTCTTCTCCAGCAGCAAGTTCACCAGCAACAGAGGGAACAACACTTTCATCGTCTACAGAAGACGAAGCAGGAGGAGCAGCACCAACCGAGAGGCCGGGTGCACTTGTTGCTGCTCTGCTGACTCCAAGACGACCAACAGCACAACCAACAGCAGCAGGAGGAGCAGCAGCAGGAGCAGCAGCAG